AAACCCTAGCAGAAACAGTTTGGTACTCGGATGAAAAAAACCGTGTCCTGAGCATTTAAAAAACACTAATGTGTACGACAAGGCCTGGAGAAAGGAACTTATCAAATGCAAGGAACTTGTGAGATACAAGGAAACAATTTAAAAATAACAGACAGAAACTGGGCAAGAGACCATGTGCCATATTCTCTATTCTGCCCTAACTTCCAAGAGCCGAAATACACTCCAGGGAACCTCCAATGCTCAGTCCTGTCCAAAGAGTAATCCTGTCTTCATAGCAGCACAATTGAACAATTTAAATTATTCTTATTAAATAATATTGCTTCTAGGCAGAGGTATCGTGGAGGAGGCCGAGAGGCGGCGGCGGCAGACACGCTTTCCTGCAAACCCACGCGAGGAGGCGCAGGGCGTCGCCAGGACAGCAGAGTGGCCTACAGCGTGGACGTGGACGGGGCTCCAATTCAGCATCCTGGGGCTCTTCTGACGTGCGAAGAGGCTACGACCCTTTCCTGTGACTTACCCTGGAGTCGCGGCGCTCTCGTCAGCACTGAAGCGGGAGGCGGCTCGCAGGTTATTCCGAAACCCTTTCTCGGGGGGCTCTGCTCTCAGAGGGGCGAGGAGGTGCTGAGGACAAACCCGGGGTGTCTGCTCCAGGGACAGCGACCGTCCCTCACACCAGATGAAGTCACTTAAGTGCCAAGCGGAATTTGAGGCTTCTGAGGAAAAATAGACTATTCACCCCACCAGCTCTAAAAGCTACGGGAAAAATCCTTTCTTCTTTTCTAACATTTTCTCAATATTCAACTAAGTTTGCGTCTTTTCCAATGAAGTCTGTTCTTTGTCTCTATAAAGTGAGACACCGATTTCAAAGCCAAAGAAAATCTTTCTCCTTCTGAACTCTGAATTGCCCGACCAGGGGATCTCTCTCCACGGAGACGAGGCCTCCCGAGGCTCGCTGGAGATTCAGGCTCACTTTGGTCCGCGGAGATCCTTCTTTATTTAAAGAAGCGGGAGCGTGAGCTCAGCGACGCCTGTGATCTGAAGCCAGTCTCTCACCAGGACCAGAGGTACAGAACGGGGACCTAGGAGCCAGGAGGCCAAGGTGGTCTCAGGGCACAGGCAGGGAGGCCTCAGCAAAGCACTGCCCAGCCTGGCCGAGAGACACAAAGGACGGCCCCGAGGATCACAGAACGCTCATCTTAGCAACTCAGACATTCACCTCCACCTCTTCCATTTGGCTGGGTTCTTCAGTGAGAGATACAGAAAATATAGACAAGTAGCAAACCCCAAACAGGGACAAAGCAGACCTTAAGGGGCTGCTGGTGTGGTGCTCATGGGCCTCTGCTGCCTGGTCTCGGTCCCCTCCCAGGTCTTCGCAGCTCTGGTCTCCAGGGTCTATGCACAGGGGACCCGACCCCAGGTCTCGCCTTCCCTGAGCACATGGCGACCCATAAGTTGACACCAGCGCGAGAGGACTAGGGAGCTGCAGAAGTGTCTGCCAGGCCATGCACGGCCCCGACTTCAAGGGGGCATTCAAGTTGGGACAAAGGGGTCAGGATGGGTAGTTTCTAAGGCTTTGGAAACAGGATATTCTACTTGAGTCCCTCAAAGGCTTTGAATGACAGACCCTCCACCCTCAACAGAGGCTGGGTATGAGCAGAACTTCAGCAAGCAAAGGAAGATGTAGACAGCTAAGGACAGGTGTGTACCATCCGCCTGGATGACCTGGGTCTCCCTGTGGCCCTTGGCCCCCCTGCGCCGGGGACCCCGGGCTGGTGGCGGGAGCTGGCACGAGAGAAAGCGCCCTGGGCCAAGTGTGGTTCTGTGAAACCCTTTGACTCCCCATATCACACTGGATTGTCTTGATGGGAACATGCTCATCTATCTAAAAAGTTATTTCTGTGACTTCCTACCCAAAGAGCAAGTTTTTCCTGTAAGTGGTAAACCTGGGGATTCGCCAAGCAGGAAGGAGAAGAGAGAAGAGGGTCACCAGGCCTGGGAGGGAGCGGTTCCCAGAGCCATCACTTCCACCCGCTGGTCTCTTCCCATGGGCTGTGCCAGAGCCTCGCGCCCCGGGGTGACCAGAGAGCAGGTCCTCAGACCTCTGCATCTGCAGTGATACTGGCATCACATCGGAATCGAATTGTTTTCACTCCTGCCCCTGACACTGCTAGGGTCAGCCCACCCTCAACAAGCTAGAGAAGGTGGCCTGGGCCCTCGTCCCACACCGTGGTGGGTCACAGGCTGCCCAGACCAGGGCTGTGGCTCTCCCGTCTCCCTGGCCTGTGCTCTTGCTTCTGCGCCTGAGTTCAGCCGGGAGATTCTTGCTGGGTCAGCTCAGAGCACGTCGAGAGGGCGCTTGGCCGGGATGCACATCTCCTTTGGGCACCGGCCCCTCCTGGGCCTCTGGCCGCCAGTTCCAGGACAAGTTCTGGCATGAGCCAGGCATGCCACCTGGTCACACGACCAAAAACCCTTAAACACCTCACTGTTTATAAACCCAGAGCGGTAGCTTCTGGCCCAGCCCTCCTGTGCCTGCCCAGCTTGGGGTCTCAGCTACCCCAGGGCCACTTCCCTTCTCGGTCCCAGCAGAAGCTAAAAGGTGCTGACTCTGTGTGGCAGGATGCCACCCACTGAGCTTCTGTCCTCTCCACTTCCTGGTTCATCCATCCCCTCCCTTTCTTCTCCTTTCGCCTGGAACTCACATAAATATGAGTGAAAAAGGACAGAAACCAAAACCTCACAGCCAGGAGCAGATGGGTTGGAGCCAGACTGACCAGACCAGGTAAAGCTGCGACCAGTCGCTCGGTGACCAGCGTTCTGTTCCAGCCTGGCGCGGGGCGCGCTCTGCAGACGACATCAGCTTTCACAAGGAGACAAACCTGCGGCAGTTGCCATAGTCCAAAAGCAAATAGGGCTCCCCTCTGAGAGTGACAGTCGCTAAGGAGAGGAAGCAGCAGCAGGCGGCCCTCAAGCCCCCATGACACACCCTCCCTGGAGGGCTCTTGCCCGGCAAGTGGAGCCTGTGCAGGGGGCTGTGGCCACCTCCCGCCACCCGCTCGCTCACTCCCACCCGCGCACACACCAGGCACATACCACGCCAGCGACCGTGAGTGGGACAAAGAGAGCGTCGTCTCTCACCCTCAATAGCGGGGACCACACCCAAGGACGCAGCCCCGCTGTCTCCATCCACCCCGGTTCTCCAGACCTCACCCAAGGTAACACAGGCTTCAGAAAAGAGCTTATTTCCATTTAGTTTAGTGCCATAGAAACAACTGGTTTGGGGGCCTTAAAAACCAACGGAACAGGGATTTTCCCACCACAGCAGAAGGGAGGGAGCCAGCAGGGATGTCCTGCGCTTGTCCGGGGACAGTGGCCCTGGGTGGCTGTGGCTGGGTCATGCCGGCGGCCATTTTGAAAGGTGTGTTCCCTTCACACCAGGGCAGCCATGCCCAGCCAGGTCCTGGTTCCTGGGGGACCACCTGCTATTCCCTCAGATGCTCCCCAGGAAACTGGGTCTCTCTGTGGTTTTCCACTGGGCCAGGGCGGAAGCTGCAATGCTGAGGACAGGCCACTGCTGAGAACGGCCACTCCTCAGAGACTCCTGGAGCTCTGTGTTGAACATGTCGTTTCTGTTTGCGGTGCCAACAGGAAAACCAACACCAGAGTGACGAGCAAAATTTAAAGTCAATCTTTACACAGATGACCTTGGTGTTCCTGAAAACGTTCTCCAAGAGAAGCTGTGGGGTCCAATCTCGTCCCCGCATCGTCTGGCTCTGCTCACAGGACGTGCCTCGAGGTGCCACTGGCTGTCTGCAGGTGCAGGGCTACTTCCTGACGGAACCAGCAGCCACGCGACCAAGCAGTGCCGCCCATCCTTTGGTTCTCACCATGCTGCAGACTAAGCCACATGAGACGGCAGCAGCGGAGCGTGGGGGGCACAGCCTGCGTGCCACCCGTGTGCGGAGGGGCCTCCTTTCTGCTGGCTGGCCGCAGCCCCCAGCGCTTCGGGCAGAGGAGATGGTTCCAATTTAAAACAGCAGACAGATCTGGGTGGCCAGGAAACCGTCATCTGGTGACAAGCAGCATGCACAGACTGTGCTCAGCACTGGCGGGTCCCACTGTACTCGTCAGCCGTACTCGTCAGCCACGGATGACAAAGCCACTGGGGAACACGGGCAGCAACTCCTGCCTCCGGTGCCGGGGCAGTTGGACCCAGCCGTGGCCGGTGCTGCGGGCTGGACGCTGCAGCCACGGGCTCTGGACAGACCTTTTGTCCAAAGAACTTTCTCCCTCCGATATTAGGCAGGAAGCCGTGGCTTTCACTTACAGTTGACAGACAGAGCGGCAGGTTGACTCTTCGAGGGGATTAATGCTGGTAAAATCCCAGACCCACAGCTGAAGATGAAAATCTCAAATATATTATCTTTTTTGTGTTTGTCTCAGATTTATGATTCAGCCTGAATTCCATGTTTAAACAAAAGAAATACTTGGGGTCCAAAAACCAAACCAGGACCCCTCCAAGTTAATGCCGATACTGTCTATGTCACGCTTCGGGGAAAGATAGCAGGAAACAGCAGTAGGTCAGCTCTTGCCGCTCTGGCCTGGCGGCCCATCATGTCTTCCCGGGGAGGCTGGCATGTACCGTGCCGCTGCTGTCCTGGCCGCTCCTTCGACCACGCACGGGGGCCAGGGAGCCGTGCTCCGCTCGGGGAGGCTGTCCGACACCTTCCTTGGGATGCTGAGCTATAGCCTTGTCCCCGCACCCCTGACAGAGAGGCCTGGAGAGAGGAGATGGTGCTGAGGGAGGAGGAAAAAAACAAAGAATTCCCAGAATCGTACAATCAGTTGTCTGAACTCGTTTATGTGTTTTGTTTTGAACCACAGGAGGACAGGAGAGAAAATGGAAGGGGCTAGGTGTGTCCGGGGGCCCCTGCCGAGCCACCTGCCCGCTGGGCACCACAGGCCGCTGTTCTCCTGCGTCCGTGGGCGTGGCTGCCTGTACTGCCAGGCTCAGCTCCGGGGGCGCTGCTGGGTGAGTCCCACTCCACCCGGAGCGGGTGACGTCACTCCCCGGGGCTTGGCCCCTGGGGGCCGGCGGCTGCGATGACCCCAGCCTGCGTGGTTCCAGTCCCACTGGGCTCTTCCACCCGGGACCTTTTGACCTCGGGCTCCCCGGTAGAAGAAGCCGAGGCGGCGGTGGTGGTGGCGGTGGCGGTGGTGGCTGGTGTGGCGGTGGCCACTGCCGTGCCGGCTGCCGCGCCGGCTGCCGCTGGCTCCTCAGGCCCCACCTCGCACACCCGGGTGACCACCACTGGCGTGGACGAACTCGCCTGGGTCGCCAGGAGCTGCAGGGGACTGGTGAGGGCTGAGCGGAGGAAGAAGAGGTTTACTTGGAGAGTCTGGGGACAGGCCCACACCCGCTAGCCCAGCGCTCTCTCTGTGCGGCCACGCCATCGCCTCTGGCCTCGCTTGTCTAACCTGCCTGGTGGCCCCCCGTGTCCTTGTCTCCTGTGCTGCTGCGTCTGTCTGGACCCTGCCGGGCACCTGACAGCTGCCCCTCACCTCCCTGACACAGGTGTGCCTGCCCCGGACCACCCGCTGGAGCCTAAGCCCACCCAACCCGGCCCTCTTATTTTCTCCTTTGACTTCTTGCCTCACCCCAGTGGAGCCTGCACACTAGACAGGGTGGAGACCTGGTTTTTCCCTCCCTCGCTCTTAGCCTTATCGCAGTGCTTGGCATGTAGCAGGTGCTCAGTAAATCAACTGATCGGATGACGGGGTGACGTGGAAAAGCACCCGCCCACTGACCACTGCAGAGCGACAGAGCTCAGGCCGAGGTCTGGAGCCCGAGCGGGCCTCACCGTAGGCGCTGCCGGCTACGCTGCTGGTGGGCATGGCGTGCTTTCCGTTCTGAGTGACAGCCCGCACCGGGAGGTGGTGCTGCCCGATGGCCACTGGCGCAGCCGGCTGCAGGATGGCGACCGTGTGTCCAGGGACTCCCGGGGCCACCTGGCTGGCCACCGTCTGGATCACTCCGCTGGCTGCAGGGATCGTGGCAAACGCGATGGTGGGTTTCTCCTCCAAGCCTGCGGAGGAGAACCGTGTCAGAACACACTCGGCCAACGAGGGGATGGGTTTTCACTGATGTGGCGGCCATAAGTCTGCTAACGGGGTAAGTGGAGGTGGCATTAGGAAAAACTTTGGTTCTCAAAAGAAAAATCCCACCAAAGAACTACGTTTCCAAATAAAACAATCAGTAGGGTTTAGAAAAATATTTTAAGTACCTTAACTTGAACCAACCAAATGGAATCTAAGAAAGAGAACGAACTGTCTGGACTGAAAGCTGCTTCAGACCCGTAGCTTAGTCTTCCTTCACCAAATGCAATTTTCAGTATGACGGAAATAAAAATTACCACCGAGATTAAGTCAACAGTGGTAATAACAAGTAGGAGACACTGCTTAATGCACAAGTATTCCCGAGAGAATCCGCTACAGCACCGGCTGCACTGTTGACACGGGCCCCGCTAACCCCTGGGAGGAAACCCACGCCCACTCTTCCCCCAAGTGACTCCTGAAGCCTCCCGCTCCGAGGAGTCTTCGACAGGCTTATTCTTTCTCCTGTGGGAAATGTCCAATTCCAATTTCAGGAAGGACCTCACAACTTATTTCAATGTCACCTTAAGGTAAAACAAATTCCAGGAAACAGCTATGTACATTGGAAGGCCCCGTGCAACAAAGGAAGACGCATTTGAGGATAATTAATGCTGATTTAAAAAGGCAGGCAGGATGGGCAGGGTCCCGAGAGCCACCTGAGAACCATCCTCCGTGAACCCCCAGGCCCAGGCGGAAGGCGCCACGTCCCGGAGGGCAGGACAGCACAGTGAGCTCCCGAAAAGGCCACCCAGCTACACCGTGTTACCTCTGGCTTCACTGCCCAGGTCCAGCACGGCTGTGCCCGCGGCATCGTGGGAGCCACTTGCCGAGCCCTGGCTGGCCAGGATGTACCCGTTGGCAGAGCTGGCGGAGGTGGTGACCACCCTGACCATGGTGACAGTGGGGGCCTGCTGCACAACATGGATCGCGTGGCCTGCCGGTTGCTGTGACGTCACGATGGAGGCTGGCATGTAGGCCACAGGCTTGGCCACCAAACTGGACGGGCGGGGAGGCACAGCCATGATCACCGGCTGGGCACTGACGGGGGAGCCTGGACGAGGGACAGAGAGAGAGTGGTGACTCCTCGTGCCCATCCAGCCTTGCCCCGGGCTGTCCCCAGTTCTGCCACACTCAGTGAAAGGACAAAACCATGCCTTACCGGGTGCGCTTTGGGAATACCGATACTCTGGAACAGCAGTTAACTTCGACCCCAAGTCAGAGTCGTGTGGGATGGGGGAGCCCTCCCGAGACAGGCACTCCGGGGTCTGCAGGCCACTCGAGCGAGGGGACATCAGCCCAGGGTGTGTGGGCGAGGCTGGGGCGCTCCTGAAAAGGAACAAAAGAAACAGAAAGGACCACGGTAGTGAGTCGGTGTGCAAGGGATGTAAGGACATTAAACAGACATCACGCATCTCGATGTCACCCCACATCCTCTGCCACGTGCCCCGGTGCTGGGTTCTGCCCTCCCAAGGCGTGTCCAACACTAATGCTCTGGGCAGTGACGACATCCCCTGGAAACAGGAGGCCACCAGCAGTTAAAGCCACACTTGGCGGAGCTGGCAGTGGAGGTGGGGGGTTGGCTCCACTAACGGGAGGGGTTGGCGTTACTGTGGCATTTGCTAGAGTCTACAGCGTCCGTCTCCCGAAAGGTGCCAGCCAGTCTTCCGTGACAGTGGCTCGGCCTCCTCTGTCAAAAAACACAGCTTGTGTGTGACGGGCACAGCTTTCCACCAGGAAAACCACAACCGGGAGAGCAACACAAGCTCCGGGAGCCCCACTGCTTATCCTGCATAAATAATAACCCCAGGACACCGTTTCCCTCGTCACCATTCCCCCTGGTTCTAAAATGAAGCGTTCTTGCCAGCCGCTGCCAGCGCATGCCCGCTGGGCACAGCTGTGCCACCGCTGAGACTCAGCCCTCGAAACAGAATCCGCTTTTGTCTCTGGGAAGAAGGGCAGGGACACGCGTCCACCTACACCGCTGAACACGCCGGGCAAGTGTGTTCGGCACAGACCCTGAGAGGTAGGAAGCTGGGACTGGCCAGGTGCGCTTTGGGGAAGAACCAGTCTTAATGTCACATTCATAATCTGCGTTATAAATGCCCTTGGTCGCTCCGACTGTGCCATGTCCACTGCGGTGGCGGTGCTAGGGCTGCCCTCGGTCTGGCCAGACCTCTCGCCTGTTCTTCATCAGTGACCGGGAGGCCTTGACTGCTTATCCCAACACTCACGTGACTCGTGCCCAAACCAGGGGTGACCGGGCCACGCCGCAATCTCAAGTCCTCATGGTCCTACTTCTTACCAAAGAGCCCTTTCGAGGTCTCTGCAATTTGACCTTACTCTTCCCAGTCCCCCCGTCCTACGACCTCCCTCGCACCCCGGATACACACGCCCAGTCCTGGAAGTCAGGCCAGCGCCCCCTCGTCGACACCAAAGCTCTCACCGCGCCATGCTCTGGGCCTGAGAGATCGCCCTTCAACCTGCAAATTCTACTTGGCATGAATCTGCTTCCCCAACCACAGGGGACCTGCCTGAAGATGGGACCCCATGCTCCTTACAGGGATCCTTACACGGTTTCCTGGACACGCCGAGCACACAGCAAGCCCCGGTAACTGTCCCTTGACTGACAGTAAAAAATCATGTTGGTGGTTGTTACAGGTCGAACCGTGTCCCCCAAAGAAGACATACGTGTTGGAGTCCTGACCCCCAGGACCTCAGAGGGTGACCTTACTTGGAGACAGGGTCTTCACAGGGTGATCTGGTTACAGTGAGGTCAGCAGGGTGGGCCCTGATCCCGTATGACGGGTGCCCTCACACGAGGGGCCCTTGCAACAGACACACGAGGAAAATGCAACGTGAAGATGAACGCAGAGGTCAGGGTGACAGGCTTACAAGCCAAGGAACCCCAAAGACCGTCAGCAACCACCACAAGCTCCGGGATAGGCCCGGAACAGATGCTGCCACAGACCTCAGCAGGAACTAACTCTGCCGACGCCCTGACCTTGGACTTCTAGCTTCCAGCCCTGTGAGACAGTAAGCACCTGTTGTTTACGCCGCTCGGGTTGTGGTACTGGTTACAACACCCTGGCAAGCTGACAGTTTAATAACATTTCTCTTCACATTCCTGTTTAAGCAATGGGATGTTTCAGAAAATCTCAGGTTCAGGTGAAGCACTCCAAATGATGAACATTTTTTTGAATTCTTATGTTACCAATAGGACCGATTCACCTGGGAGTCACGATGCCAGAGCCTACACCAGAAACGATTTGCAGACATTTTTGCAACCTCTCACAGAATCACATCTGAAACAGAATTTTGGAATCAACAGCACTGGATGGTAATGTTTCCTTCCACTGGGAGAATTTCTGAGTGACCTCTCCAGAGATCTCCCCTAGGCCTAGACGGGCTCCTCTGAGGGGCGACCTTGGGAAGGTCCACTTGGGCCGTCCACGGGCAGGACCGAGCTGGGCAGGAGCCTGGACCCCTGTGGGCGGCAGTGGCCGGGCCCGACTCTGCTTGCCGGCAGACAGAAGCCACGTTCCCCAGCATCAGCTCTGTCGGGAGCAAAGGAGGTTCCGGACTCCACCTGCCACCTCCTTGTCTGTCCCTCCAGAGATGCGGCAGCAGCCGCTCTTCACCGGGCCCCTCAAACACTTCCACGGGAGCTGGGTTCCAAAAAAGCACCTCAGGCTGCAATCCATCTGTTTTTGGCTTTAGATACTCTTCCCATTGCTACACACATTTCAGCTTCTAAGAACCAGAATGTTAGAGACCCGGTCAGTGGTTTATTTACTAACTTTAGTATTACAGAAGTTCATTGGTCCAGAAATATTCTTTCTCTCTCAAAAAAAAAAAAAAAAAAAAAAAGGAGTTTTAAAGTGCCAAAAACAATACAATCCTCCCTCAGTGTCGGTGGGGAATGGGTTCCAGGACTCCCGAGGATGCCAGTTTCCCGATACTCAAGTCCCTGATGGAAAATGCTGTAGGATTTGCCTATAACCTACGCACATCCTCCCGTACACCTTAATTTGCTTCTAGATTACTTAGAATACGATGTAAATGCTACGTCAGTGGTTGTTTTTACTTATATTGTTTTGTATTGTTGTATTACTATTTTTTTTTTCCCTGAGCATTTCTGATCCATGACTGGTTGCCTCCGAGGACGCGGAACCTGGGGCTACAGGGGGCTGCTGCACTGCCAGCCTCCAGAGCCGGGGAAGCCTAGCTCTCCTAACAGCGAGGACAGCGGCACGGAGAGGCTTACCTTGAGGACAGAGGCCCAAAGGGGGTGCGGAAGCAGGAGACGCCTCTCTGCCTCCGCTTCCGGAATGCCTGTTCCACGAGTTTAGCTTCTGAGGCAGGGTCTATTCGCCAAAACGACCCCTTCCCAGGCTCCTCCTGGGAACGTGGGACTTTAATAAAGTAGCGGTTCAAAGAGAGGTTGTGTCGGATAGAATTCTGCAGGGAAGCAGAGATGGTCCCCGGTTACCAGCACATCAGAAAACAAACCCCGCCCCCCCACCCCACCCCAAATCTGAATGCGATGGACGCAGGACCAGAATGGCCAGGACAGGCCGTCACTCGGCCGAGGGCCTCTGTGCCGGCACTGGCTGTGCTGTCCTGGAAAGCGCAAAGCACAGTGGCAGTTTTGTCCTAATTCAGCACAGTGTCATTACCCGTCTTCACAGAGAAAGTGAGACAGAAAGACAAACCGTGGTCTAGGAGTATGTCTGGGACACAGACAAGACCGGGTCTCACAGAGCTCAGAGCTCGAGCGGAATAAACCAGTGAATGGGAGACGGTGACTTTGGAGAAACACAAGTGTGACACGAGTCAGTCGTGGCTGGCGTAGCACAGGCCTCATGACCCCACAGAAAGATAAAATATACGCAACCTAGACACGCGGCCTCGTATTTGCATGACGTGTACAGCCACGTTTCCAACTCAGCACAGCAAGCGTGACATGGAACAAGGTATTACCCATCTTCACAGTTCTGGGCATAGGAAGGAGGGAAATGAATGAAAAAGACTACTTTAGACTCAACAGCACCACAGCTCTAACGCACGTCAGGCGTCCCGTGTGTCACCTGTGACAACATCCCTACAGGTCTTTTCTGGTCACTTTAAAGGAAGTGATGTGCCTGTTGCAGTCCCTTGTCCTAAGGGTGTCTCAAAGGAAGTGATGTGCCTGTTGCAGTCCCTTGTCCTAAGGGTGTCTCAGGACTCGGCCCTCACCTGCCAGCCTTTGTCGGCCGTCCTGTAATAGGGGTAATGTTTGGTGATGTGGGCGTAGATGCCGCTTAGTGTTAACTGCCGGTCCTGGGCCGAGGAGATGGCCTGCACGATCAGCTGCGCGTAGGAGTACGGTGGCTTCGACTCGTCCTGCGGAGCAACGGAGATCACAGGGTTAACGCGGGAGCGTCTCAGAGTCCAATCTACCCGCACGTCACCTGCTAACAGAGAAGAACCTTCCGACAAGGACACGTGTGTCAAGATTCAATCAATCCCAGTGACCTCCAACCATTTCATTAATGTGCTTGGGTTAAACTAGGAATAGCTGTTTTTGCCTCATGGGAAGGAAAAATTAGGTTTTTGTCATAATTTAGTTCTGAAATTCAAATTTCTCACCTCAACAAATTGATTTTAGAACAGTTATCAGATGTAAATGAACTAAGACACAAATTATAAGAAAAAAGTGTCATTCCTCTCAAAGTCTGGAATTTAAGCTCTGAGGCCGTCTGTCAGTCACAGATGAACAAGGAGAAGATGGCGGGGAGCGGCGTGGCCAGGCCTCGAGGACGGGAACACGCGAGTCCCCAGCAAGTGGCCGGCGGGCATTGCATGGGCAGAGGGCGAAAGGCAATGGCTCTACTGGCCGACCGCAGCCAAATCTCTCGTGGGCTGTGGGGACTGACTCTCGTAGCCGTGCTCCCTGGCCACGCCGTCTGTGCCACCAACTCCCTGTGGCCACTCTCGATCACCACGTGTGTCAGAGGAGCTGGGGAGGGCTCAGACCTTGGGGCTGTCCCCTCCGGACGCGTCTGCCTGCTGCTCCGAGGCGGCCTTCGCTGCGAACTCTGCTGCCAGCTGCAGGTCCGAGGTCACGTTCTGGACGAAGCGGTAACCTGAGGACCCGGCGCCGCGCGGACTGGCCGGGCAGGAGTTGGGGACGCTGAGGAGAGAAGGACACACTGTGAGTTCACGATCCTGAAAGGGGGGCTCTGTCCCGATGGTGAAGGTTTTTGTGACACTGCAGGCCCCTTTAGAAAGGATGGAGAAAGTGCAACCGGAGGACAAAAGTTTTAAAGTTACACAGGGTCAAAGACAAGACTCTGGAGATGGCAAATACGTTTCATTCCAGCTATAACTTCTGCTCTGGGGGGCTGAGAGCACTGTGGCCCCCGTCCTGCCACAGCACAGGGCCTGGGGCAGTGCCCGATGGGGCAGCTCTGCAGGACCCTGCGACGCTGGGCTGCATCTCCTCTCCACAGACACCTCCACGTGACCATGTTCACTTAGGACTCAGGACAGTCATCGCGGGCTGCCCGCTAGTGCACAGATGTCCACAAGATGGCACCATGAGAAAAGACTGGGGGAACAATACCCGCAGTCACACCCGCAAAGGTGACAGATGCCTGACGGGGGCGCCACCCACCCATGCACCAAGCAGGGGAGGCAGCTGGAGCCCCAGCACCGGAGTCTGTCCTGGAGACACCACCCGCAGGGAAGAGGCACCTGTGGGTTTGTCCTGAGCCATGGCCGCCGGCCAGCTCAACCCTGGTGTTCCACGGTCCAGCGTCCCGTCTCCTGGGCTGCAGTGACTGCAGCACAGGGGCTGCGGTGGGAGGGTGGACTCCCATTCCATCCCTGTCCCAACTCCGTGGGAACATGTGGCAGGTTCTCGGGTCTGTCCGTCTGGACAGCATCGCTGTCCTGCTGCCTGACAGGCTCTGCAGATGTCGGCCGCATCTGTTGCACTGATCAATATACTCCGGCCTGTTTCCTCAAACTAATTAAGGCAGGCTTTGGTTATCAAACCGTATCGGTTCTGATTCTGAAAATGATTTCTATTCAAAATAGAGAAAACCAAGGAGAACTCCAAGAGTAGGTACAGGGACTCCTGCCGGAAGGCGCACCCGTAGTTGTCCCACCACATGTGGGCACCCGCCCTCCTCGCAGTCTGGGGAGCGACCCCAGCAGGCCCGCGGTTGCCCCACTGACAGCCCCAGCCCTCGCGATGCTCCTCGATGCCCTGCCTCCCAGGCTGCCGCACCCCCGCCCAGAACCATCTGGAAGGTCAGCTCTCAGACGTGTCTTGTCTTCTTGCTTCTTCCTGGTCTTGGTGCCAGGTCCTTTGCCTAGAATGTCCTCACAACTGTCCCAACAACAAGACTTCTCCCAACCTCCACATGTGAGCCCATGCGCTGCCTTCCTGCACCCCCTTCCTGCGCCCCACCATCGGTGTCACCCCTCAGCCCCGGTGGTGGCCCCGGTTCCTGACTCATCTCCTTTGCTGGATGGAGCAAGGGATGGGAAAGTAAACAGCGACTGAGAAACACGCAGCGACCGTATTCACGGTAAATTGGATTCTGGGTCATTACCCTTTTTGGTAATGACTCTGTGTCAGCCAGACAGAATTTTAAAGGCTCGAACTGAGAATTCCTGTTCTCTTTCCCCCCCGATTCCCAAGTGTGGCAGAGACAGGCAAGCTCTGCACGTGAAGGGACTTTGATCAACAACCGCGGACAGCCCGCAGAGGGAGGAGACAATCATAAAAGAGGCTTTTTCTGAACTTCATTCTGAACCCAAAATACAACACCCAAGCTTACAAAGGAAGGTGGGAGAGGGAGAGAAAGGATTTTACCGTAACGGCATACACACTCAAAGGCCAGGTTTTCCAAAGGCATCTGTATGCACTCGCGGCCCAAAGCTGTGCCCAGCGGGAGCGCGGCCGTGGCGGGCCTGTCGCTGAGTCCACGGACGATGCCGCCCCAGTGATGGACGCACAGGGGTGCACCTGTCCCAACCCAGCACGTCCTGACACCCACAGACGTCATACCTTGTTGTGCACCACCGAGCCGAGGTGTCACCCGGAAACACACCTGACTTCCCAGAGACGGGCTAGGGACGGCTGGCTTAGCTCGGCCACTCCCACCAGCTCTGACGGCAAATGGTGATGCTCTGCCCAGGCAGGCCACCACGCTCCTGCTCCGAGGAGTCGCTTTGTAAAAGATGGCAGAAAATTTATGTCTAAACCTCAGGAGGCAAAACCCGAAGAAAAGGTCATTGACGACAGAAAGATTTCAAATGGAAATAAAAGCAAGGCTCGGTGCAGGCTGGCTTGGAAACAGGGCAAAAGGCCAGGGAAGCTCTTTGCCACTTTCTAGAGCACCGGCCCCGGCCTGGGCTGACAGCTTCTGGTGTGCACGCAGCCGGGACCGCGCACGATGTGGTGGCTGCTGGAGCACTGTGACGCCGGGAGGCTCTCCAGCGGCGCCTGGCCGAGGGACAACGTGGGTTTGCTCACACAGCTCTTCCGGCCCTCACAGCGGCTCGTTTCTCAATAAACCCCATTCAGTTGTCCTCTCGCGCTGGCTTCGGCCCGGGGCTGCGCCTGGTACCAGGCCACCCTGACATTAAACCTGCATCTGAGGGGGAGGCAGCAAGCAAGATGCCACGTAAGCTCCGGAACATTCGGGACATAAAACACTTGAGTGGAGCACGGTTCCGAGGGCCCAGGCCTCAGTGGGATGGGACATCTGAGCTCTGAAGCAAGGCTCCTGCCCTGGGGACTGCCCAGAAAGGCCGCGGAGGCCGTCTGGGAAAACGAATCAAGAATTCAGTGTCTCTTGCTGAGAATTTTGTCCTACTCCACTGAAAAACTTCCTGAGTTCTTAGCAATTTGAGAAAAATTCTTAAAAAGACAGTATAAACACACAAGTTATCTCTTGAGGGGACAGGAAGGGGGGCACTCTCAGGGATGGCCCCGGCCTTGGCCGAGACCCCAGCTCCCAGCTGCCAGGGCGAGGAAAGTCTGGATTCGGGGTGGGATGAGGACAGCAAGGGTCACGCAGAGCAGACGCGGCTCTCCCCAACCTGAGCCCGGAAGTGGGACTAAAGCAGAGTGTGAGGTTCAGACCACCAGTCACCAATTTCTCCTCTTTTTTATGGAAAAACAATTCCCAATTCCGTTTTAGGCAGGAAAGCTGGAGGGTCCTGCACAGCGGTTGCCCAGGTGTGTTCCCACCATGACAGCCCGCCGCCCCGAGACAGCCGGGATCACCCAAGATACACCCGGCAATGCGACCATGTCGTGTGTGCAGGGATATTTGAAAGGAACGGCCTGTGGCCTGACGTGTCGCTCAGCTGCACGACGGTAAGATTCAAGCCGAGGAACACAAATCTGCCAAGAGACCTAAAGCTGCCACCGCAGTGGCCAACTGGGGTCCCCGGAGCCTGAGGCAAGCCTCCTCCCTGGCACACGACTGTGCTCCCTCCGATCAGCTGGCACCCCTGAGCTCTGCGCTCAGAACGGGAACAGCACCTGAGAGGGCCTGAGGCTCAGCACAGCAGAGGCCACCTGAGCCGGGAGACCCTCTGGTCACTCCCCCAAGAGCCAGTCTCTGCAGCCCGGGTGGAGGGTGCAGGACGCCCAGGCACGGGGAGGGCAGCGCTGCTGAAATAAAAGGGAACCCCCGTCTGTAAGAAGTGGCCAGATCCCTTCCCCAACCCTGAGGGACCTGGCTCTGGAGGGGCTGCAGGGAGGGCCTGGGGACTGAGCCACGGGCTGCATGGCCAAGTGCAAGGTGACACCCCCAGCGGGGGGCCGAGAAAGCTGCTGCCTGGAGCCTCCTGGGGGGACCCACTGACAGTGGCTGCAGGGCGTCCCTGTTCCAGCCCCACCAAGGAGCCCCCACCCCAATCCTGTCGCCTCCCAGCTGACCCCAGCGGCCTTCCGGACCCCATTCTTAAATAAACAGCTGGCCGAGCACACCTGTTGTTTGAGGAAAGCTGTACCGGACAGGACACAAGAGAAACGGGGACCAGAGGAAGCCGACACGAGCCAGGGAGAAGACGAAAACCCCAAAACCAAGCAAACATGGTTCACGTGCCTAAGGACGTCCTGCGCCTACGAGAGAGTAATGACGCTACTGAAGCACTTGGGAGAGCAAGAAAACGCTCTTAAAAGTTAAAAAAAAACAAGAAGAGAAATAAAATCCAAGAAAGGGTGGAAGGAGAGACTGGAGAAAATCTCCCAGAAAGAGAGAGAAACACCACAGAGGACAGGAGGAAGGAAGGGCCCCCGGAGGTCACCAGACACGGCCAGTCCCAGGACAGGGGGACAAGGGGGGGGCGGGCAACAGAAATACAGAGATAATTCCCAGAATTGCAGGAAAAGAGTCTTCAGACTGAAAAGGCCCCACTACATGCCCAAAGGATAACAAGAGACCGCCCAAGCCTTATAAGGTGCCACCTGATGTGGGGGACACAGAAGCCCGAGAGTCTCTTGGGTAGGACTGCGAATTGGAAGAGACCAAACTCCTTAACAGCAACACTCAAGGCCAGAGAGTGAGTGTAAATTCTGAGGGAAAAAGGTTTCCAACCTTGAACTTTCTACCCAGTAACACCAACTTTTCAGGCATGGAAGATGTTTTTTTAAGAAAAGTACCTCTCCTGTACCCTTTCCCAGGAAGTGACTGGAGGGTGTTCTCTAACAAAACAAAGGGGCAAATCAGCAAAGAGGAAGAAGCAGGAATCAGGAAAGTGCCCTCTCCCCCTCCATCTCCAGAGAGAATTCCCAGGAAGATGGAGAAGACGATCCCATGGTCAGAGGGGCCCCAGCCCTGGGTCCTGGCCGGAGAAGGCAGTGGGCCCAGCGGAAGGCCTTCACAGTAAAGGTGAAACCAACAGTTGTAAACGCCCACCAGGCAAAGAGCGCAGGATATGCCTGTAATAGCTGCATGGAGTCTAACCACACACAGAGAAGAGGCCAAAAATACAAGGAAGGAAATGGCTAAGCGTTACATTATTGCACAGTTCTAATGGAGAAAATGCTAATACTAGTTAAACAAAAAAATGATGATGTAATCTTATTGGGAGGATGGGGTGGTGGGGGAGGAAGCTAAATCCTTAATTCCAGAATAGGAAGTCCATTTGTCATTTCAGAAACTGAAAAACCAAGGGAGAGTCTCATAAGTGCATGACTCAGAGGCACACGGTTGCAATGAGAAGGGGTTATCTTGGGGGTGTGTCCTAATGGGGGATTGTCTTTTTCTGAAATGTTTGAATTTTGTGTAACGCACACTGAGTATTTCTGTAATCTGAAAAAGGCATAAATGAACAAGGAAAGAAAATTCTTGGAGGCAAATTTCTTAGAACTATCTTAAAGAATGTTTGTGTTCCCTTAAGATAAATTCAACACTGTAAAATCCTGGGAAGATTTTTTTTTAAAAAATTAACTAGTTTCAGTGACAAACACTCAGCAAGCTGCTTGCACATTCGCTCTTCTCAGACCGGACTTGAGACCTGAGTGGGTGCTTCCTGCCGCCCCAAGGGCTGTCCCCGTGTGACAGGGCTGTCCCTGGGTGAGGTGCCCACACAGAGGCCCTCCCACAGCCTATTCCACACCTAAGGAACACTGTCCCTGTGCCCTGGGGCACCTCCACAGCTCAACACACTACAGTAGAGGCAGGACTTTCAGTACCAAGCTTCACTCAATACTCTCGACATTCAAGAGCCCCAAAATACCCCAGGAACGGAGTTAGGCAGAATGGATAAATAAATAAAAGGAACTCAGAAATTTTTACTTCCCCAGACTTTTCAGATGGGAAGGGGGACAAGGTGGTGTGGGGTGGGGTGAGGTTGGGGGCTGGCATGACCTGTGGGCGCAGGGGGGACCCACAAATGCTGAGGCCTCCGGGCCAGCCAGGCCACAGCCAGTAACCCTTTGAACAGATGAACCACCCTGACGGAAGGACCCAAAGTGTGTCAGAAAAAGGGCAGTGTTTTGAATGCAGATCCAATAACCTCCAAACTCAAAAGGTCTCCATCATTAAAAACAACACCAACTGAGTCGGGGCCAAACTTTATCCAGCAATAAAGCAGAACTATACGTAAAGATCATGATTGAAAGGGAGAGATTTTTAAGTAAATTGCTTAATTTTTGTTTTCTATAATGCACTGCCAACCTTTGCCGAATTTCACAAGTTACTTTCATTTTTGATCTCTCTGTTCTGCCTAAATCCGTTCCTGGGGCATTTGGAAAAATCAAGAAAAGCCTTCTTAAAGAAACAGCTTCGAAAATCTCACCCTGATGAGCAGAAACGAGTGGCTTTCTCTCTGCAGTCCCTTTGCTCTCATGAATTTCAGCAGTTCCCTCCAAACGCTACCTCGGAGGAGCACTTTTCAGACTGGTGGCTGTTTTTGTAAAACCTAGAAAATGGCTAACCAATTCATTCTTTCCTAAAAATTCGTCTTCTTTGCAAAAAGGAAAAAGGTCAAATGCTGCTAAAGATAGCAGAATGTATTTCAAAGCTTGTTCATTCATCTTCTGGGTGGAGTACTTCAGGGCAGAAAAAAACAAACCAAAAAAAAAAAAAAGAAAGAAGAAAACCAACTGCACACAGCCCCACCCACCCTGGGAAACACCGAGAAGACGGACGCCCAGAGCAAAACGGGGAGGCGGTGGGGGGGACCTTAAGGGGCCCCTCCAGGTAACAGCCGCGGGAGGGAGGAGAGGGGCTGGGCAGGCGCCAGGCAGGAGCCCGGCCCACATCACGCCAACCGCACCCAGGCAAAGGCCACCAAATTAGGAAAGTGACCCCTGGGGGGGCAGGGCGGATCTAGGAGGGAACAGCCCGGGCGCAGACACCGCCCTCCCCTGCCGATCTCCCGGGAGGGCGGGAGGGAAGGCGGGGAGTGTTTGTAAACACCTCGGCTCCACCCTACGGCAGAAACTCAGACTGAAAAGGATCTTGGCAAGCAAAACCTCAAGGGCCTCTGAGGTTTCTAAACACTCAATTGAATTCCACAGTGCTAAGATAAACGGATGTAAACACAGATCCTTTTATTACAACCATCGAGGGCCAGAAAGTGAGAAAGCCTGTCCCAAAGTCACTACTTTCTCTGCAAATAATTCTCCCAGCAAGAATCCAGTCCCAGCCCTGGATCGGACGGGGTGAGAGGGCGTGAACCAGGCCACCCCCACCCCAGCCCCCGCACAGAGACAAGGTCAGATACAAACCCAGAGCCGCTTCAGCCCGGGCTCAAACCGCATCCACTGCACCACCAGCCTAACTTCTCAGAAGAGCTTCGCCTGCTTAGTAAAAAATATCTTTTCTTAGCTCCTTTACAAACCACGGCCTCTCTTCTAAAATAAAAGCTACTTTAATATACAAATCTTTTGTTGAGTATCTTAACCAGTTGGCTACTACTTTCATTTGGATTATTACTGGGAAATATTTTTATTTCATTAAGCCCTCCAGGGCTAATAATAAACCAAAACATTTTTCTTTCTTAAACAGCTTCTGTTTGGCTGGATTAGAACCTGATTATTAATAACCCATGGCACTCACAGGCCCTTAATGCGCGCCTGGTTTGGTTCTTGCTGGACACGGAAGGCCCTTCGCTGCCACTGTGGACACCGCAGGCAACAGGCCTCTGAGCTCTTGGCAAGATGGGAACTGGTCTCGGCCACCGTCACAACACCTGCTTTCAGGTGACGCTGGAGAAAGGCTTAAGTGTACATATAACGTATTCGATGGCTTTATTGAGATACAATTCACATGCTGTACAATTTATCCATTTAAAGTGTGCAATTCAGTGGTTTTTCGTGTATTCATGAAGTTGTTAACAATCATCATTATCCAATTCCAGAACACTCTCTCATAAAGCTGTTAAGGACTAAATAAAATACTGCATGTGCATTGCTAAGCACAGGACCAGACGTATTAATAAACTTAGGCTTCTATTAAGTTATTATTTATCATCATATGAAATCAGAGTGCTGGCTCGACAGACGGGGACACAGGGCCAGTGACGCTCAAGTGACCTGGCCAAGTTACACACCTGGGGGCACCTACCACACACACGTCAGAACTCGGACTCCAGACCTGAGCTCTGGGCCTTGCCACTTCCATGCTGCCCCTGACCCTTTCTCTCCATGAGGGAAAAAGCCACCCACCTGCTGGCTCTGGAAAAAAGGAAGCCGACTCCAAGCAACTCAAATGCAAATGATTCCCAATTAGTAACTGAAGCTTACAGGAAAACAAAAAGTTTGCAGGAAAACAAAAAGCTTAAGTAAAACACTGACTGTGGCACTGGGGGAATCCAACCCCCCGTGGTTATGCTGAAAGAGAAACCAACATACAGCTCTAACCCTAAAGGTGCAGCAAAGGGCCATCAGCACGCCTGTGTGTGGCGGCGCATAGGGACAGCAAATCTGCAGCTCTAACCGAGCAGCGGGGTCAGGGTGTGCCTCACAGACGGCACAGGTGTGCCCTGAGACCCTTCCAGGGCACGTGTGAGCTCAACACAATTTTCACAACAATCCTAGGACTCGGCATACAAGGGACAGTGGACGCTGCTGGTGCCTCAGCACCCAACTGCGCAGCCATAGCATCTTCAGGGCCATGGACGCGGAGTTGAGAGGGAAAAGCTGGTTTGATTTAAAGATGTCTGTGATGAAGCAGTAAAACATTTCAAATTTATTAACTCTTGACCCTCAAGCACACATCTTTTCCACATCCTGCGTGTGTCAGGACGAAGAGCTGCCCAGGACCGGGCGGTCCTCAGAGGTACGCATGACTGCGCCGAGGGGCCGCTGGTTGCTTCTCACCCTGAAACCTTCCCCCAGGGGTTCGCCTTCAAGTAAGAGAAAGTTTGAGGACTTTCCTTTCTTCAAAATCTAGATTAGCTTCTAAAATGTCACAAAGAATTTCCACAAATGAAGCTTGGAAAAACAAAGTTCACCAAATCCTGGTATACAGACATACTTTAAAACATTTCGACGTCTTAAAAAAAAATACCTGTGCATGCTTTAACAGACACTAATATATAAAACTTCAAACTGGAAAAGTGATCGACTAGGTAGTGATTGTTCACTTGATAAGAGAATTCCCCAGAGATTTTATGTAAGTAGTCAGGTCTCCGATGCACTTAACACCGGTTCGTAACTTTCACGCACAGGCGACTTTCTAGAGACATCGACCCCAGCACCGCACAGGACCAGGCGCGCCGGCCTCACTCCCTCTCCCGGCGGCTGAGGACAGGCTGGGGGCACCTACCTGATGGTGCCAGTCGGGGAGGGCACGGGGCTGACCAGGCTCCGGAGATCCGGCTCCGGGATGTGAATCTTCAGAGGAGAGATCTGCGGGTACAGCGGCCGGAGCGGGGAGGCCGGAGCCTCCTCCTTGTGGTACAGCGACGTGAACTGGATCTTGATGGCCGTGCTGGGAAACCGGAAAGTACACCTGCGGCGGGAGGGGGAGCAGCGCGTTAGGAAAGCGGGACATGGAAGAGAACCCCAATCCAGTGTGTTCTCCTTCATCTCAATAACTGATTCGAGCCTTAACTCTCGAATCTGTGCCCAAAAGAGTATGTTTCATGCCTTTGTTAGGACGCTACTGACACGAATTTAGGCTCATGTGGGTATCAGCTGTCCTTCCGCAGTACATGTGAACAGAGATATAAACACTCGCTGCCTGGCACCGACAGGCGCCATCTCCCGCAGAGGCTCCGGACAGAGATACTTCCTGTCGGCGACAGCAGCTGCAGTCACACCCAGGTGGGATTCACCCCCTCCCAAAGAACATGCTGGAAAACTGAGATAGCACAGTCGCTGTTTATGCAGAGATTCTAAAGACAGATTCCCTCACGCTAACTAGGAGATGTGGCAAAAGGAGGGAGTCCCAGAGAGCGGCACCGCGAACCCAGAGCTTAACAGACTGGCTCCACAATCAATCCTGGGCTTAAAGCCACGAGCCCCGGGTTTTCTGCTGGAGATGACCGTGTGCAAACAAACCCTGGGCTGGCGGCAGTCGGTGGCGGCCTCCAGTGTCAAAGTCAGCACCCACGTGCTGGGATGAGCAGGCGAGGACTATCCTAGGTTCACCTGGTTCTGAGAAACTTCTCCCTATTAAAATCTGGGCATTATTTACCCGGTACACCTTCTAATTTCTAAACTGACAAGTTACCAACCAACAAGTTGCTAACTGCAGGACTTCGTTAAAAAACAAAACAAATGAAAATAAAACCCAATTAAAGCAGCCGTACAACTGTCTAGAAAAGACTCCCTGTGAAAAACGCAGGGGAGTGAGACAGAATGTGTATACACACCCATGCGAACGCACTCTCAACAGTTTCGGAAGGCAGTCAGCTCACGCTGGGATTCGACACTCGAGAAGCCTTAAGGTCTTTTGTAGCGTTACTCGCAAGGGGTCTCGGGGCCTCGGGACAGCTGGCTGCCTGGTCTACTCCTGGCTGTTTTTAATTCCGGGGCGACGTTTAAATAGCGAATCTAACTCACATCTTGCACGGACATGAGCAAACGCCCCTTCTATTTTAAGACCCCTTTGCTCTTAGTAAAATGGTTTTTTAACAGCAGGATTTACGAATAGGTTAAGATACGATCTGTGATCCTGTAAGGGAACGATGGGGTCCTTTTGAGCCTCCTGCCTGGGGAGACACCCTTCCCGGGACGCTTCAAAGGAAGTGACTCAGCACTCCACGCGGTGCTCGTCTGTCCTGAGGCCCCGCTACCCACATCCAACGGAGAAAATCATTAACCGGAACTGCCTGACTGGGCCAGTACGAGCTTCCCGAGACACCGGGCAAAGCGCGGCTGGACCTCACCGCAAAGGCACCTCTGCCGCTGGCAGGACGAGCACCCGGCTGCCGTCCACCCCTGGGCACTAGGTTGTATTTCCAAACGCAACATCAGGACAGAGGGATTCTGACCCTGTTTCCAGGGTGAGAGGCATCGGGAGGCACCAATGAAACGTGAGGGGCGGGGCGGGTGGGCCCTCAGGCGCAGTCGGCATCACACCGTGGTTCTGCTTAAAGGGCAGCCCAAGGCTATTTTAAAATATTCTGCAATTTTCTCCTCTTAAGTCATACATCAAGGAACATGTGACATCATTTCCACTTTCTTTAGTTTCCCACAGCCCGATGGAAATTCCCTCCATCGGTATTTGGCTAGAAAGGCCCAGCACCCACTTTTCTAGGCTTCTCTGTGAGGCCCCCAGCTCTGCAGTCCTGGAGGCTGGTCAGCGCCTGTGAGCCAGGGAGCCGGTGCCCACCCAGGCTCCGGTGTCCGAGGATGGGCCTTGTGCCCCTGACCACAGGAGTAAGGGGAGAGGCCTGGAGCCGGGAATCTGGCTGAGGGCTCCGCCAGGCGAGCTCCACCGTGAACGACAGAGACGACAGGACAGAGTGTGCGTGGTGTGCAGGCACGCATGTGTGTGCACGCACGTGCTCTGCCAACGCTGGACAGGAAGGCAATAATGATGACGAGTATTTAAAGATGGTTTCTAGGGCCCTTTACTGATTTTCTCTCCCCCCCAATTCCCTCAATTGCTGCAAACTGACAAAATGAGCTACAGTTCACCATTTGCAAGAAGGGCACGCAGTGAGGAGTTTTGACCTGCGCTGGGGAAGCCGCTGTGCTAATATGAGATCGTATCACACTAGAACTGTCAAGGCCAACTGGAATGAGGATGCGGCTTGGGCCCATGACTGAGGCCATGGCAGATGGGGACCTCGGAGAACTGGGTCCAGACACGAGGACTAGAAGAGGCACGTGGGCCCCTCTGGACCGGGAATCCGAACGCCAGGTCCGGCCAGAGCACTCGCCGACTCCAGAGGGCAGAAGGCCTCTCCAGCCCTTCACCCCCCATCTTCCTAGCTTTGCGCCCTGGGCTTCGCCATGCTGAAAATCGCGCAGGAATAGGGGCCACTAAGCGTGGGGATGCGCCACACGGGTGACACCGCCGGAGAAGAAAATCGGCTCGGACCCACCTGACCCAGCCTCTCCTCACTAACAAACGGAATGGTCTGAATAGATCACCTCAAAGGTGCTTTCCAGTTCAAAAAACTTAAGATTCTAGATAATACGTGCCTAGATTGAGTTTTAATAAAACAAAACAATGTTTTTGTAGGACAGGCAGGGATTCTGGTATGTCAGGCAAAACCTAATAAGTGATTAGTAGGAGAATTTCCTACTGTAATAGTCTTCCAATTAAGGTTTAACAATAAACATTTTCATATCGTTTGCTGTAACAGCTATTTTAAAAGCATCTCCTGACTCACTCTTCCAAAACTTATCCCGAGGCAGGTTAGCTCCTAACTCGGAGGAGGAGGAGAAACACCAGGAAGGCTGCTACTTAATATCAAATAGACGTCTCCCCAGGGTGCTCGCGGAGCTCGCCAGTCACAGCTCTCCCTGTAACGTTTTCACTCAGGGGTAGGGTCCTAGCTGGAGTTTTAACGAGCGTGTCTTGCAGTTGACGTATTTTCCTGAAGGGGCTGCGCAGTCTTAGACCCAACCACCCACGCTGTCTTTGCTGTCGGAAATCCCTGCCAGGGCTGAGTGTGGCCACACGGTTGAACCTCTGTCCACCAGCCCAGAGGGGGGTTCCTGTATGAGCAAGCGCCCAGCCTCGGAGGAAATCTCTCTGCAACACTCTCGCCCAACTTGCAGAGACAGAAAGGAGATGCTGGGGTGAGGGGTGGGGGGTGGAGAGTGACTGACGGGCGCTAGGGAACAGGTTTCTTTCGGGGGTGATAAAAATATTCTAAAATTGACTGTGGTGATGGTTGAATACACTAAAAAAAAAATCACTGAATTGAAAAACTTAAAAGGGTTAGTTGTACGGTATGTGAATTTTATCTCAATTAAGCTGTTTTTAGAAATATTCTTGCCCTAAAGCTCCCACACCAAAGGGCCACTCTGCTGTGGGCCAGGTCCATCTGGAAGCCAAAGGCTCCTGAAAGTTGGGCCAAACCGGTAACGACTTGGTTTGAGATGAGACTGCCTTATCCGGCATCAGGTCAAAGATCACTGCACAGAAAGCTGGGTCTAGCCACTGCAGGACCAGGAACGAGCCCAAGTGGCTTGGGGTGCGTCACTTCATTTCGATCTCGTCCTTAGAGGAGAGGCATCCCACCACCTGCCTCACCAACCAGAAAGCTGTCAGGTAAATAAAAATAGCTCATTTAATTCCAGATGATATAAACATAATTAACTTCATTTTAGACACAAAGAAATAATCAGAGAGAGAAGAAAGTACATGAACAAGCTTCAGAGCAGACTTTTAAAGTCAGTGCAATAGATCCCGTCTCTCCCCAGACCCCCTGCCCAGCAGAAGGACGAGTTTACTTCCCGGAGAGGGTGAACCTCAGAGCCTGGATTGGAGCGTTCGACACAGAGAGCAGCAGGGAACAACATTCAGCGCTGAAAACAGACTCCTGACCTGAAGTTCCCTGCGAGGACCGTGAGACTCCCACCCCCCCCCAAGTTTCCTGAGGCCGAGCCCCGAGGCCAGCGAGATGGCCACTCGCTCGGTAGCCAGGGGGCCAGAGCGCCTCGCTCTCCACAGTTACAGACATCTGGGGAACGTGTCCAACGAGGAGGACAGGGATCTGGGAGCAGAAACGACGCAGACCAACCGTATCTCCTGAGAATAGAAAGGGCATCGCATCTGCTGGCCAAGGACAGGACCGCAAGAGGCATGTCTAGGGAAGAACAAATCTGGGACGATTAAAAAATGACACAGAAAACTTCAAAGGGAAGGTTAGATGACAGACTCAAAACCTTTCCAAGAAAAGACAAAGAAAATAAAGGGAAATTGTGGAGGCTCTGTCCAGGAGGTTTATTATTTGAGTTTGAATATTTACTCTCTAAAGGCTGCTCCTCAGGAGCTATCGGGGAATAGACTTTGCCGTCTCCCAACCGCCGCACAACGTCGTGTCTGCAAGACAGTCTCTGCCTCCAAGGAACCGAGTCTCCCAGACAAATGATGACTCGAGTATAGGCCAATGCTCTGGAGCAGCGGCTCCGTCCCCAGCACACCCACGAGGCGCCACTGTCCCCTGAGTCCCAGGGGCTCTGGGCCGGGGCAGCACAGCCTAAATAAGCCCGCTAAGTGGCTCTGATGTGCCCAAGGGTCACAGACCCTCCTGGCTTGGACCCCTGGGCCTGCGGAGCAGGGCAAGGCTCCAACTCGAAAACCTTGCAAGAGACGCAACAGGGGACTGTGCTAAGACCTTTGTGTGAACATGAGTCACTGAGGGTTCAAGGTAAATACCGACCAGCCTGGCCATTGGAAATGAGAGGCCTGCAATGCGGCGGTGCCCCAAGCAGCTGGGAGAGAGGGCACCTGGGAGATGGGGGGGCCCAACGGCACCTGGGTTCCCCACAGGCCGGGGCTAACAAGGCCCGCTGGTCCTGGAAATGACAGGTGTCGAAATGTTT